CGGCCGCCGCTCGCCCTCCGCGGGCTTGGGGCGCACGGACCCGACCGCTGGCCATCCCCTATTGATGTCCATGAATGCAAACACCATGATTTTCACGGGTATCCCTGTCACATCCCAGTGATGCTGTCCCCATGTCCCTGTCCCCGTCACATCCCAGTGTCCACCCTCCCTTCCCCTTCCTCCCCCCCCACCCCCCGCACCGTCCCTCAGCCTGAGCACCTCCGTGTGTGTGTGTGCGTGTGTGTGCATGTGTGTGCGCCCCGGTAAACACCAAAGATTATTTTCTTTATGACTGCTTCAGTCTTTGGCAATCAAACTAGAGTCAATGTTTTATTCCATCATCCAGAGTTGACCAGATGCCTTGGTTGTGGGCTCTTACAGGCAATAGCTTGCTTGATGGACATGAATGCGTTGTTGGACAGATTTCACAATTACATCTTACCGCATCTGAGAGGGGAAGACCGAGTTTGTCACTGCAACTGTGGAAGGTAAGTTCACCTGCAGAGGATCTTCCCCCCCCGTCCCCCCCCAGCCCCTTCCCACCTTGTCTCACTGGGGAGGCACAGGGGAGGTGGTGGCCGGGGCGCTGCTGGCCGGGCTACCATCTTTGCATTCTGGCTGTGTCTCACCTTCCTCACCGGCTCCTGCATGAACACAGGGAGGGGGGGATTTGGTTTTTTCCGGAAGAAGAGTTTTCTGTGGGCTTGGAAGTCCATTCTCCTTTGTGTGCGTGTTTGTGTAGGTGCACCCGCGAGCCCTGCCAAAGTGAGTAACTTCGATTTGAACGTTTGTCATTTTGCCTTTGTTGTCCCTGGGTTGTGATGGTCCTCAGCCTGTTTGTGCTCTGGGTCTCGCAGTCGTGTGGCTTAAATGAAATGGGGTTTGGAGAACAGAGAGGATCCGTGCCCAGGCCGGAGTGTGGCTGTGTAGGACAGTGTCACTTTGAGGCTTTGCAATCTTTGATCGGATTTTAATTCCCTGTGGCTTTTCCTCCTGAGAGTTGTGATGCTGCTGGACACAGCACCCCGAGGAGGCTGGGCTGTGGTTTTGTGGAGCGTTCTGTGAGCCAGGTGGATGCTGTGCCAGGAGTCATGCCTTTGCTGTGCACAAGTTTATGACTGGACAAATCCCTGGCCCTCCCCATGGCTGTTGGGAATGCTGAATTCTCCCAAACAACGTCGCTCTTACGTCGTGTGTAATCACTGAAGCGCTCAGCTCGGAGCTGGGATCTGGCTGCTCCCTGTGTTCGGGCCCGGGGGCTGAGTTTTGGGGAGATGGATTTCTCCCTTCCTTGTGGGACTGCTGTCAGTGATCCTTGTCCTGCACTCCTGGAGGCCTCGCTCCCCTCCTGTGCCTGGTTACTCACAGCCTGCAGGAGAGTTTCTTGTCTGTGGGGGAGTGAAGCAGCGTGAGGCTGTGCCAGCTAAAGGACATGCTGGGGGAGCCCTCCCTTGTCACATCCAACGTTTAAATTGAGCTTTACTCCTCTTTGAGCTGCCTCTGGAACCAGCTGCATCCTGTCTCCCAGGCGTCACATCCCTCTGGTGTCCCTGGTGTGGGAGCTGAGCTGGAGCTGGGATGTGCTTCGCTTAATGAAGAGAAGCTGCTTTGCCCTTCCACTTCTGCTTCAGGCACCGAAGGTGATCGGTACCTTTCTCCCCAGACTCCCGTGGCAGAACAGCAGAGAAAGATACAGGCAGTACCTCCAGGGCCAAATTCAGCTGGGCCCTGGATGATACAGTAACAGACCCTAAATATCTGGTGCTCCTTGGGCACCTGAGGCGTCTCCCTGTTAAGGTCAATTGGGAAGACTGGGGGCAAGAAACCTCCACAGTGTCTTTGGCTTGTTTTTGGCAAGGATTAGCTTTCTCTTAGCTAATTTTTTTTGAGTCGTCTTGGTGTTTTTTGCTAGTTTAGGTTTTTTCCTCCCCCTCTTCCATCGGTTTTTCTTTTTGCTCGTCACAGCTTGGTTCAGTGGTGGTGAAAATTGGCTGCTGGCAACAGACTTTAATGTTGTCTGGAGGGGCTGAGGAGTGTCAGGTCTCACTGGTGGTTTGGCAGTGTCCTGCCCAAGCCTGAGAAGGTGGCAGGGGGACTCTAACTCTCTGTCTGCAGAGATGCTGTGGAGGCAGATAAATTAGCCATGGCACTCTCCCCAGACATCGTTAGGTCATTTCTTCGAAAGTGCCCAAAACAGCTTCCAAATCGTCGAGCGTGGATCTGAGAGGAGGCAACAAGCAAAGTTTACCAGTTGCCTCAGGTATGTAGAAGCAGTGGCTCTTGCCAAGAGAGACATCACACCAGTCCCTGCTCCTGAACATTGGCTCCCACGTGCTCATGCCCCGATGTAGGAGAAGCACCCCTGAGCTGTGGGACCTTGTGCGGCCTCGTGCTCAGGTTTGGGGTGTGATCCCCTCTTGCTCCCTGTGACCTGCTGCCCCAGTGCCAGTGTTTTGGGTCCTCTGATTTGAAGGCAGGTGGTGCTGGATGTGCCTTGTCCTTGCTGTCAGCTCTCCAAGTGCTCTGGGCACAGGCCCTGGGCGCAGGGAGCCGTCAGCAGCTCTGCCTCGCACCAGGCAGGGCTGTGTCCTGGAGCGCGTTGTCAGCGCCAGTGCCGGGGCTTGATGAAGAACTTAATTTGCCAATAACCAAAGGGAGTCCTTGGAGGAGGGAGCTGGCTGCAGTTCAGTGTGTTGCAGGGAGGAATGGGGAAAATAAGTAAATGTTGCAGAAATGGAAGGGAAGGAGGAATTGGAACAAATGAAGATTGATGTGCAGTGGGCTGAGCTGCCGCAATTAAGGTTTTCCCTCCTGCCCTGGCCTGGGTCGTGGTGTCAGTCAGACCAAATAACTCATTCAGAAATGCTTTCCTTCCACTCTCCTCCCCTGGTTGCACCCTTCCTTGGGGTGTCAGGGGGGACCCCTTCCCCAGGAATGGTCTGCCATGTCCCAGGGTGGACTGCAGACCTGGCACTGGGCATCCAGTGTACAGCAGGATGTGCTCTCCAGGAGGAACTGGAATCTGCACTGAGCTCCTGTCCCTGTGAGGGGCTGGGAGCTGTTCTGGGCTGGGGGTGGCTGTGGGCAGAGAGGGCTGGCTCTGTGTGTGTCCCACGTGCCAGGGGATGTGGGGCTCTGTGCTGTGCCAGGCTGCCATTGCAGCATCCACAGCCTGGATCCCCACTCCCCTGGCAGTGGGATGGGCCTGGCTGTGTTTGCAGTTCCAGCTTAGGAGTCACTTGTCCCTGTCCACACTTTCTGCTCCCTGAGGAGGGGTGCTGGGACATGGTGTTGGTCTGTGATGGGAGGCTGGCAGGCAGCAGCATGACTTGTACCCAGGGGTGCCCCAGGCTCTGTCCATGTTTTGGGGGTTCTGGGGTCGTTGTCTGCTCTGGCTGCCTCCTCAAAGAGCTCATGGAGGCTGTGCTGGGGTCTGTCCTCATGGGCAGCGATGTACCTTTCCCTGGACTCTGTCCTCCTTTCCATGGGGCACTGACCAGGAAGAAGGTCCCAGGACAAGTGGAAGGAATGCTATATGGTTTTTTTCCACGTTCATGAGCACTCTGTGTGTTCAAAGTGGCTAGAGAATGTCATTAGGGTCAAAATATTTGGGGAAGAAAACCAGCCCCATCTTCAGGTGCTGCTGGAGGCTGAACACTTGGCACTGCTGGGGCTGATCCCAACCTTTGTCATGCCCATCCCCATGGAATCAGGACCACTGGGGCTGTTGGAGGCTGAAGCTGTTGCTCATCACTTTATGCCAGAAGCAGGGGAGCAATTTGATGGGGCAAGAGTGACCTCGCTGGGCCCTGGGAGGTGCTTTTGGGGTCTGTGATGTTGGATGGGAGCTGTGGCTGTTCTTTGTGGAGAACCAAGAGGGACCTGGTGACACCTGTGCCGTGTGAAGTTTCAGTGACTGTTGGAGGCTGCAGGGACTGGAGCCCGAGGGTGTGGGGTGCTGGGGTAAAGCTGCCTGGGGCTGCACTTGCTGCCCTGCTCCCCTGCCCAGTGCACAGAAACGTGGCCAAGGCTGGCCCATGTTTGCAGTCTTTTGAGTGACAATGTCCACTGAGCCACTATTTCCAGTTTGAGCGAGCCTGGGCTGGGCTGTGCCTTTGCCATGGGAGTGTTCCTGCTCTGATGGCTGGGATGGACGTTCCCATGGGCTGTGAGGGGTGGCAGATATTCTCCTCGTGTGGGTGGGCTGTCACCACCGGGCTGGACCCGTGGGGCTGCTCCACCAAGAGCCACAGAGCCAAGGAGGGCAGGGCTGCCAACACCCCTGGGGCCAGCAGGGAGCATCCACAGCTGTTCACTGGGAAAACAGTCCTGCCAGTTGCTTGGGAAGGGAAGCTGGTGTAGGGATGGTGGTGCATGGAGCGAGGACGTCAGCAGAGAGAGACTGGGCTGGCCCTGGCACCTGCTGCTGGTGCTGAGCCTGCACAGCCAGGCAGGGTGTGACAGGGACTGTTCCTCTCCTAACATCTGCCTCCTGGCTGCGGGAGGGAGGGGTGACAGCCACATTTACACTCCTGCTGGCTCCTGTTGACGCCGTGCAGGAATGTGGCTGCTGGAGCAGATCCCTGGGGGAGTTGGCACTCTCTGTCCTCGGCATGTGGAGCATCCAGGCTGTCCAAATCACCGCGGTGGGTCCTCCTTGCAAAGCAGGCTCTGGCCTTACCCCCTTGGGATGTGGATGTTGCCAGGGCAGAGCAGGGCTGGGCAGGACTGCAGAGGTGTCCGAATTTCTCCGTCCCAGCCAGCAAAGGGTCCTCTCTGGAAGCAGAGAGCTGGCAGCAGATCAGGAGCTGGGTGATGTCATGCAAAGGAAAAACACCAAAGGGCGTCCGTGGAGGCAGAGGGAGCTGGAGGGAACAGATGACACCTGCATGGAGCAAAACAGCCTGGGGGGCTTGCAAGGCCCTTGTCTGGAAAGGACAGGGACCTCAGCAGCTCTGGCTTGTGTTCTCCTTGCCACTGACCTTCTGAGTGACCTTGGATGAGTCTTTCCCTCCTAGGCAAAGTGTCTCCCGTGAGCAGGGTTGGAAAGGAGCAGGAGAAGGGTCAGCCTTACCTGAGTGCCAACACCCTGCAGCAGAGCTGGGGGCCTGGCCAGCCTCGAGTCAGCTCTTCCTGTCCCGGGGATGCTTCAGCCCTGCTCTCCCTGGGCCCTGATCCAGGAGGGAAAGGCTGTGTTGGACCTCTCCTGAGTGACTGATGTGGATGGAGACCCTGCCATGCAATGGGCTGTTTCCTAGGAGAGCAGCTGGATGCAGGGTGGAATGTGGAATGTGTGAGGAGTCTGCTGGCTGGGATGCTGGTGATCCCTGGTGATCCCAGGATCCCTGCCCTGACGCTGGGATCACTGGTTAGGGTGGCACTGCTGTCATGAGGAATATTCCTGCTCTGTTTCCTCCTTTTCCCAGCCACTCTGGAAAAGTCATCACACCTCTCTGCCCGCAGCCCCTCTGTGGATGTGCTGGGAGGC